CACATCAGGTTCCCAGCTCAGCGGGGAGCCTGGTTCTCCCTCTGGCCCTCTCCCCTCTCATGCTGTTTCTCTCTCTCTCTCTCAAATAAATAAATAAAATATTAAAAAAAAAATATATATATATCTGATGCAAGGACATCTCCTGCATCACCCCCTAGGTCCACAGGACTAAGGTGGGGTAAGGAGAGCCTTTGAGGTATCTGACACCTATAAACTGTGGCTCTGAGTTACCGCCTCAGTCTTCACTTCCCACCTGTGTCTGGCCTTTGGTTTTTCAGCAGCAGAGGTTTCTATGGTCCTGGAAGTCAGCGCCCAAGCACCTTGCTGCCCAGAGGCTCAGTGGTGGCCTCCCTTCCTCCTGCTCGCTGCCTTAGCTGGGTGGCCCTGTGTCCAGTGGGAGCCCCGGGCTCTCCTAACTGTGCCCTCTGGGCCGCTTCATACCTTCCTGACCAGCCAAGCACTGGGACCTGGTGAGGGGCTTCCTCAAACCAATCTTGGTCATATTGTGGTCCTGGTCTGGGGCGTCCAGTGCCGCGGCGGTGGGGAGTCAGCCCCAGGTGATGGCAGATACCGCTGCTTCATTGACAGCAGAGTCAATAGGACGAACGCACAAGGCTGGTTCCTCTAAAATAGAATCAAGGTGGAAGGGAGACATTCATCACCTTTTCTTTATAAAATGGGGAAAAGACTAGATCTAGAAGTGACTTCTTATTCATCTTTCTGTCTCTAATAATAATAGTAGTTAAAATTTATTGAGCAATTACTGTATGCCAGATGTGGTTCTAAGCACTTCTCATATCTTAACTCATTTAATCCTCAAATATCCTTATGAGGAGGATAGTGATGCTCAGACAGGTCCTGTGGCTCCTAAGAGGTGGAACCAGCGTCCGACACTGGCCAGTAGGTTCCAGAGTTTGTTCTCCTAACACTGCCCTGAGCTGCTTGGTGCCAGCACGGTACCTGTCTCATAGTAGCTGCTCACTACATTTTAACTGACTGGCTCAAGAAAGGAGCATTTTGAAAGATTATCAGAATACTTCCCTTGAAGTGAGAATTGATTTCAGAATTGTAGTATACCCATCCATTGACTTATATCTGTTGGAATAAAATAAAAGGTCAGACAAGGACCCCAATCTAGAAGTATATTGTTAGGGAATTAAGTACAAAGATAGGCTTTCAAAGCCCTAGGTAAAAATAGATTTTTCTGTAAAGGGTGCTGACAGAACTGGCTAGCCGTTATACACATGCACACACATAAAACCCAAACCTCATATTTTTGTATTTTTTACTCCTTACATCAAAAGTGAATTCCAAGTGGATGAAAGATTTAAATAAACATATGAGACCATAGGTATGTTGAGAGGAGATATGGGTAAATGTATTTCTAAAGTTAGAGTAGAAACGTCTAAGTACAAACAAAATCCAGACAATAAAAGATTGACAAGATTAGGTTATTTTAAAAACACCACCAATAACCAAAAACTATGGGCAAAAAATTAGAAGAGAAAGTCCAAGAACAGGGCGCCTGGGTGGCTCAGTTGGTTAAGCGACTGCCTTCGGCTCAGGTCATGATCCTGGAGTCCCGGGATCGAGTCCCACATCGGGCTCCCTGCTCAGCGGGGAGTCTGCTTCTCCCTCTGACCCTCTTCCCTCTCGTGCTATCTCTCATTCTCTCTCTCTCAAATAAATAAATAAAATCTTTAAAAAAAAAAAAGTCCAAGAACAAATGAAAAATTGAGAATAAAAGATATTCCCATGAAAGACCAAAGATAATTATTTAACATACAAAGAGCTCTTACAAATCAACAAGATGAACGCCCAAGTTTAAGAATGGGCAGAAAATATGAAAAGACATTTCACCAAAATGAACAAATGGCCAGTAAATGAAAAGATGCTCATTTATGTTTGTAACTAAAGAAATGTATTTTTTTAAAGTAGGCTCTATGCGCAACATGGGGCTCAAACTCACAACCCCAAGATCAAGAGTTACGTGCTGTATGGACTGAGCCAGCCATGTACTCCCAAGAAATGTGTTTTAAAATATCATTACTGATGAGATTGCCAAATATTAAAAAGTTTTATTTTGATGTTATTGTGTGAGAAAACAGACATTTCTCATACTAGTAGAGTAAATTATTGGAACTACTTTGAAAGCCAATAGAGTAAGATCTATCAAAAAATTTTTAGTTGATTTGGATCTATGAACGAGTTGCAAACATAGCACAGAAGGTTCCCATATATCCTTCACCCGCTGTTCCCTTGTCACATCTCTGTGACAGTTCCTCAGTCTTCTTGTTTTTCATGATTTTAACACTTTTTGAATATAGAATGTCCTTCAATTTAAGTTCCTCAGAACTTTTCTCCCCAGTGCATCCTATTAGGCGGTCTGTGATGCCAGTATGTCTCATTAGTAGTGACATTCACTTTGATCACCTGTCTAAGGTGGTGTCTGCCAGGGTTCTCCACTTTTTGCCCTCATATTTTGCTAAATATTTTGGAGGCAGTAAGATTTATCAGTTTTAAAGGCCTATGACCCAGCAGGACCACTTACTGAAATTTACCTACAGCTGTCTGTGATGTATTCCATCACTTGCCAGATGGGGTGATCAGTGCCCCCTCAGAGCCTCTCAAGGCTTCAGGGAGTGCCGTATTTGAAACACTTGATCAATGCCTCACACCCAGCAAGCTTCTTGCTGGTTCCTTCTCCCTTCCCCAAACACCTGGAAGCCAGATGTGTTTGGAATTCAGAAATGTTTCAGAATTCAGAAGATGCACTTATTATATATTATGTGACAGCCCCAGCAGGATCTGAGGCAGCACCCCATAATCAAACACTAATCTTCCTGCAGCAAAACGTATGCATATTCACATAAAGGGAGAAAGAGACTATATAAGTAGCTTTGGGTGAGTTCTGATCAGACCTTGATCTGAGTTCAGGTCAGGTTTTGTTGCCGTAGATAAGTTTTTAAAAATCCCTTTGGGCTTTTAGAGCATTTTGGGTTTCAGAATTGTGTGTAAGGGCTCGCACACCAGGGTAGACGTTTGCAAACACAGGTGTGGACGTCAGGGGTGTTCATGGCAGAGTTGTTGTAAATAAGCCGAATGGCCCTCAGTAGGAGATTGGTTAAATAAATCCTGGCACACAGTGGAGCCCCATCCAGAACTTTAGAAAGAAAAGAGCAAACCGTCATGGGCTGCAAGGAGAAGTGCGATAAGATGTATGACTGACTGACTCACGACACAGAACAGTGTGAATGATCTTGTTTGGATTTAAAAACATGTATGACGATGCTTGTATAAGCATCAAGAAACATCTAGAATGACACCTAGAAGAGTGGCTGCATATTGGAATCACCTGGGGACACTGGAAACTACCAAAACCTGGCCCTTCTCTACAGCCATTGAATTGGAAGTGGAGGAGTGGGTCCCACGCCCCGATCCCAGGCGGTCTCAGGTGATGCTGGGGTCCTGTGAGGCCTGAGAGCTGCTGGAACGGGAGGAGGCCACCATTTGGAGGGAGACTTCAAAGTTCATGCTTTACTGTGCGGCTTTTCTCCCCAGTTGTATTTGTAGTAGCTTTATATATACTTCTTGAAGTTTAAAAATAGTTTTAAAAAACTATTTAAAAATAGTAAAGACTGTTTAGTGAACAAAATCAGATATAAGGCAGTGGAGACACATTTTCAGCAGATAGAATTTTCTAGAAGTTTAGTATTTCTGAGCATTACTCTCCTTTAATATGAACGGTGCTTGCTGATTTCAACTGATAATTGATCTTTAAAATTTTTTTTTCCTCTTTCATCCTGAGAGACCAGAGGCTGGTGAGGGAGGCACCAGCGGAGGCTAAGGTCAGTTCTGTGCTTCGAAATTCTGGTGGTACTTTATTTCAGGTGATTGCGGAGATTGCTCATTTACCCCATTTAGACGCCCACACTAGTACCTGATTATGCAGAAGGAAGAGGTCTCCCGGTGACACACCTGGCTAGGAACACCTTACGGGGAGAGCTGGTCCTGACGGCACTGCTCTGTTCTTGCTCGAATGAACTTAACCCAGAAGTTGAGTCCCTGAAGGGGGGGGAGGTCTTTCCTTTCCTCTGCCTTCCCCTCCCCCCCTCCTCCATTGTGGGCCACACCTGGCATAAAAGCATCCCTGTTCTCACAGATGCCCTTTATTGTGCATGCTGCCCTTCCTCTGATAAGGCCTGTTTTATCTGCCTCAGCAAAGCCACTTGGGAAAGTCGACTCTCCTTGTGCTTGGTGCGCCGTGCTGATATCCAGGCAGACCTGGTCTTGGGGTGAAGTCCATGAATGAACCTGATCACTTCCTTCTTGTAAACTGTATCTGCCTTTCTCTGGAGAAGGTGATACTCTCTGCGGCGCTCTTGCTAACGTGGACGTGCTGCGCGGGGGGGGGGGGGGGGGAAGCAGGCATTCAGAGGAAGCGGGGCCAACACCTCACTCCTGCCGCCAGCACCCTGTGTGGGGGGGCGCGTTTCCACGCTCCTCCAGGGTGCTTTCTGGCTTTGCTCAACAAATGCTTTAATTGGGTGTCATTAGTAATTCTGTCCAAGGTGAAAAACCCTCCCTTGTTAGGACTCAAATTAAAAAGGCCTCTTTGGGGAACAATGAGAAATGGGTTTTTTCCCCCCGAAGGTGTTGTGGAAGCATTTAATATTAGCTGTCACTGTTTACAAAGATGATTCATTCTTAACCTGTCCTGGAGTGGGAGGGAGGGACTGCACTTAACCCCATTTTACAGAAGAGGAAACTGAGGTGCGCGAGAAATTACCTGCAGGTGGTGGGTTTCCAGGATGGTGCTCCCTCCAGCCAGCCTGTCCTGAGGCGCTGGCCCGCTGCCTGGGCCACAGACCCTTGTGGGCTCTGGGTGTGCCACTTACGTGGTCTCCTTCCCACAGGTTCGTGTTCGAGACACAGATGCCTTCCTCCTGGTGCAGCGGCACTGCGAGTACAAGGGTTTCTTCACTTGTTTTGTTTGGCAGATTCTCCCCCAGCCTCTGAGATGATGGGACTGGGAAACGGGCGCCGGAGCATGAAGTCGCCGCCCCTCGTGCTGGCCGCCCTGGTGGCCTGCATCATTGTCCTGGGCTTCAACTACTGGATCGCCAGCTCCCGGAGCGTGGATCTCCAGGTACTTGGCTTGTCTGTGTGCATGGGTGTCTTCAAGTATTTAAGGTCGCCGGGTGGTGGGGTCTGAGGGCTCTGCTGTTTACCGCCCCCTAAGGCATCACGCTCAGTGCCTTGAGCACTCTGTATCTCGAGTCTGGGGGTTCCGCATATCCCCACACCCCGCCTGGGGCCAGACTCTCCACATCCGCTCTGCCCTTGGCTGGGAGAGGACCTCCCTGTGACTTCGGATTGCCCCCAGAAGAGCCCTCTCGGCTCGGCCTGTGAGTGAACGATTTTTCATCAAGCCATGGGGGCTGGTTCTGGCAAGACTGCCTGCTTTGTCACACTGACAGCCCGTCGGGTCCTCCGGTCCACACCGGATCTCAGAGCGGTGTTGGAAGTGTATTTGGGTAACAGGTGTGGGAAAGGGTTTGTTTTTTTTTTTTTTTTAATAGGTGCCGGTTGTTCAAATCCTCACTGGAGGATAACGATTGTAGCTATCCCATTTATCACTGGGCATTGCGGGTCAGGTAGTGCTGAGCTAGGACAGAGACCGTCCTCGACGAGACTTCACTCAGGCACCTCTGACCCCTCCCTCTGGGCCTCGGTCTTGGCTTCCCCCGCCATCCCGTCTTCAGCCTGCCCAGCCCACTTAGCAAAGAATCCTGCTAAGTCCTCCCCACCCCCTAGTCCCTGATCAGGCCCCTGCTCCCCCTTGCTGATGTCTGAGCTCTTTGCCTGCCTTTAGCAAGAAATCCCCCTGCTCTTGACGTCTCCCCTTGACACTTTTCCTCCACTGAGCCCTCCCTCTACTGTTGGCCCTTAGCTGTCTCGGCTGGGTTCAGGGTGCAGCCGGTTCTCTCCCCTGCTGCATAGACAGGACCTCTCTTGCAGGAGCCTTGAAGGAAGTTTTCCTTCCCATTTTCACAAGTGCCCGGATGGTTTTTCTTCAGCAATGCAGTGGATAACACTGTCTTGTTTTGTACGCCAACTCTGTGCGTTTGGGACTTCACCGTCCCCCTTCCCAGGCGGGCAGACGGAGACGCAGAGCGGTGCGGTCCATGAGGAGCGGGGATTCCAGCCCGGTCTCCGATGGCAGAGCTCGGGCTCTTAGCCGAGAAGCCCCATCGCGGCCGAGTGTCCTGTCGGGCCCGGCTACCCCTGTGCGCTTCCACGGGAGCCCGCTGTCTGGGCAGACGTGGCCTCGGTGTCCCAAGTTAGAGACCTGAATCTGTTTCGAGAGGTTTTGTTTGCCCAGAGTTAAGCGCTCCGTCAGTGGCGGGAGGGAAGCTAAATATTTGTGCAGCTGCGAAAGCCTGAGGCACTTCGTGGACTTCCTCCTTCAGGCCTCACAGACGCCCTGGGAGGGTTGTGCTGGTATTTCCTGGGAGATAAGCCGTGCGACAGAGAAGCCCGGAGAAGTGACTTCCTCGCCCTGTAACACTTTCTCTGGAGAAAAAAAAAATAGTCGCTTCTACACAGTTGACTTCCAGGATTGTTCTTAACGGAACCCCTTCAAGCCCATTTTTGGGAGAAAGTAGAGTTTATTCTCCAGGAGCAGAGTTGACAGGATTCCCATCGCGGCTTTGCAGGACACACAGAGGACGTGTCTGGCCGCCCACCGCTGCCCGGTTAGGAAGGAGGACGGGGATGGGAGCTGGGGAGCGTGGGGCTGCGGAGGGGGACCCAGGGGGGCCCAGCAGGACTGCCCGCGGGGCCTCGAGCACACCTCCCGACTGTAGGGCTTGCTGCTGGCTCGGCCCGAGCCGGCTTCTCCCAGGGAGTGCCCTCCAGGGGCCGGGTGCGCGGGGACAGCTCGGGGTGCGCCCTCACGTGCTGCACTGTCCTTGCAGACCCGGATCCTGGAGCTGGAGGGCAGGGTCCGCAGGGCAGCGGCCGAGAGAGGCGCGGTGGAGCTGAAGAAGAACGAGTTCCAGGGAGAGCTGGAAAAGCAGCGGGAGCAGCTCGACCGCATCCAGTCCAGCCACGACTCGCAGCTGGAGAGCGTCAACAAGATCTACCAGGACGAGAAGGCAAGACCTGCTCTGTTCCCTCCGCCCCCTTTAGTTCTGTTCCAGATGCCGGTTGAGACGGCGCTGAATTCTTCTGGATGGAGGATGAGTGGCCATGAGGGTGTTTATGGGATGAGGTGGAAGGGGCCTCCTGATCAAGTGGCCACGTAGTACCCATCCCCTGCCCGGTACGCGGCGTCCCTGTCTTACTTGTTCCCGCACGTTTGTACCTCCTCATCCCCTTCCCCTCTTCTACCCATCCCCCAGCCCTTCCCCTCGGGGACCACCGGATTCTCTCCATCTGTGAGCCGTTTTGTTTTGGTTTTAGATTCCACATGTATGTGAAATCATATGGCGTATTTGCCTACCTCGGATTTATCTTACTTAGTGTAATACCCTCCAAGTCCATCTGTGTTGTCCCAAATGGCAAGATTTTGTTCTTTTTTATGACAGTAATATTCCTGTGTGTGTGTGTGTGTGTGTGTGTGTGTGTGTGTACACGTACGTGTACGTACGCACCCCCCATCTTCATCCATCTCGCGGTGGATGGACACTGGGCTGCTTCCCTATCTTGGCTGTTGTGAGCAATGCCGCGGTGCACATGGGGCACATATACCTATTCAAATTAGTGTTGCTGTTCAGATAAATACGCAGAAGTAGAATCGCTGGATCAAACAGTAGTTCTTTTACTGCTTTTCACAGCGGCTGCCCCAACGTCCGTCCGTTCCCACCGGCAGTGCGTGAGGGCTCCCTTCCGTCCACATCCTCGGCAATGCCTGTTCGATCTTGTCTCTTTGATCTTAGCCATTCTGACACGTGGAAGGTGGTATCTCACATGATTTCATTTCCCGTATTCACACATGTGTATTTCCTCTCTGAAAATTGTTCCAATCTTAATGTTATAGCAAAGCGCTTTCTAATTTTTCTTCACTTTATGGGTGGCACTGTGTATACTCCTTAAATCCCTGTAACTAGGCGGTGCTCACGGTGTGTACACAGATAGAACCTCTTCAAGCCCGTTTCTGGGAAAAAAGTAGAGTTTATTCTCCAGGAGCCAGAGTTGACAGGATTTCCATTGGGGCTTTGCAGGACGTGCAGAGGATGTGTCTGGCCACCGGTCATTGCCCGGCTAGGAAGGAGGAAAAGGATGGGAACTGGGGAGTGTGGGGCTGCAGAGGGGGACCCCGGAGGGAGGGCCCAACAGCACTGCCCTCGGGGCCTGGGCTGAGATGCGCTCCCCTGCTGGGCCGGATGGCGGGGGCGGGGGAGGGGGGGTGGCCTCAGGGCCCAGCTGTGGTCTAGAAACAGTGTCCCATCTGCAGGGAGGGAGGGAAAGCAAGGAGGGTGTTTGCAGTGACTCTCCGCCTGCCTCCGCACCCCTGTGCATACGCGTGTCCGTGCCTGAAAGTTCTGTTCTCTTCCCGAGGAAGGGTTGTCTTTTACTCTGAGCCTCTGGTTTTTTCTCCCTATGTTTTTACTTTTAAATCTGTCCTTTTTGAAATGGTAGCGATAGAAGATAGTATGGGTTTATGGCCGTGAGTGGTGTTGGCTTGTTGCTCTTAAGTATTTGTTTTCTTAACTCCCATCAGTCTACCAGATGCTTCCGAAATTGCACTGCACTATGAAATCCCACATTCTGGGAGGGATAATCTCTTTGTTCATTCTCCTCCAGGCTTCCGGAGATTTCTGTGTGTTGCGTGAAAGTGTGGGTACACATTTTGGGTGGGGAGAAGGAAAAGAGGTTGCAGGTGAATTTCAGCTCGTGGGCATTCTGCTATGGTGTGGATTTGCACTAGTTTGGCTCCAGACACCTGTGAAATGCACTGCAGACAACGGGGCTTCCCGTACAGGGTGGGCAGACTCCTCAGAGAACATGCTGTGCACAGAACTGTTTGTTCTAGAGAATTCCTAGTCATGCAGTCTGTGAAGCATCATCCCACAGGTGTGTCCTTGAGTTAGAGATGCTGGTTCATTTGAGGATAATCTCATGTGGAGATAAGAGCACAAACTTGGAATTCTTTGAACTATGATTGAGTAGCTGTTTGCTGAACAGCTCTCCCTATATAGGAAGAAATGAGAGGGAATGTCTTCCAGCCAGAAATGAGGGGACTGTTTCACCTTGGTTCTTAATGCTTCAGCTTTATAGCTTCTTTTTAAAAAGGGGGCTTAGCTCTCCTGCCCCATCCACTCAAGAACTGTTTGGGGATCTAGGGGATCCTCTTGTAGTTACAATAAACAACTTAGCTATTGAAAATTGAGGAGTCCCAGTAAAGGGTGAAATATGCATTTGAAAGCAGGACAGACAGCCACTGGGGAGGAATGAGTGTCCCTTCTCATTTGAAGTTTTTAATCTTTAGAATATGTGATAGAAAGTTCTTCTAGGTTGGGGGGTGGGCGGCTAGTTTTTGGCTCCAGGAGGATTTTAGCTGTGCTTGCTGTAGTGGTAAAAGGCATGGGGTGTCCGGGTCAGGCAGACCTGGCTTCTGATCCTGTTTTCCTCAGCTCCATGATTTTAGGCAAGCCACTTAAATTCTCTGGGTCTGTTTTCTCAGCTCTCTAGTGAGAATAACAACAGAATCCCCCTTACAGTGTAGCTTGTGAGGATTCAGTGAGGTAATATTTATGGAGGGCTTGGCACAATGCTTAACATGGACTAGAAGCTCAAAAACTGGTAGCTGGTGTCATTACAACTAGTCCTAGTAATCGTAGTAACAGCAAAGGCCTAGAAGTAAACCACAGCATCGGTAGTGATAATACTTTTTTTTTTTGGTATAGACTTCTTTTTTTTAATTCCAAATTGAAAGCATGAAACAAAATTGCCCTACCTTTAGGAAAGGATTAAGAAGATGCTGGGGTGGCCATCAGAACAAAGACTGAACAGTGCTGCTGAGCCACAGGAAGCGTGACAGTGACAGCCCCCACAGCAGTGAGGAGAGCTCCCGCCCGCAAACCTCTGCTCAGCCTGACACCAAGCTAAGCGTTCCGTGGGGATTGTTTCCTGCATTTGTCTCAACAGCCTCATGAGACTGGTGCTTCAGCTCAGAGTTCGTAGCCATCACCCAGGATGAGGCCTAGACCCCCGACAGCCCCGCACAAGAGGGCCTCCCTCTGCTCTGTGCAGACACAGGGCCACGGTGTTGCGGGGGGCTGGTTCTGCAGAACCTTCCATTCCTAAAGAACGCAAGGGGTGTGAGTGGGGCCGCAGGAAACCAGGCTGGCCAGAGCCCATATTTGTTGAAGCTAGGTGATGGGATCCTATATTTATCTCCATGACTCAAAAGGGCATGGTATTCCAGCTAGCTCCCTTTTGGCCCCAATTCCAAATTCTCAGGCAGTAAACACCTGATTCTTTATGGCCAGGCAGTTCCCAGAGAAGTAGGGCTGGCCTGTCACACCAGGACGTTCTCTCTCTCTCTCTCTCTTTTTTTTTTTTTCTTCTCTTAGAAGGTTAGCACTTGTGGTTTGAATTGGAATGAGGCTCTTTTTCAGAATGTTAAAGAATCCTCTGGTGATCTAATAGAGCCTCTCAGCTGTGGGAGGACTTGGGGGTGCCGGCATCTGTGGGTGGGGGTGATTTGCAAATGTTTCGTGCCCTAGAGATTTCTGACCTCCTGGAACCTCCCCCACCCCCGCCCTGGGTGGGCACTGTTGCTCTGGAGGGTATTGTAGCCGTCAGATATTGGCGTGGATAGAAGCTTGAAGGCCACGCCCACCGGGGATGATGTGGTCATGAAATGAATGCTTCGGGTGAGCACTGTGAAATAGAATTCCCTGGGATGAGGGGAATTTGCTGTTTGAGCTCTGCTGTACAATATCCCCTGGCTGCGGAACACCGGAAATAAGACTGGTGGGTCCGAGGAACTGAATTGTGAGTTTTATTTAGTCTTAACTACACTTAAGTGGCCAAATACCGAACAGCACGGGTTTGATTGATAGAGGCGGAACTCTGGCAGAAAGGCTGAGTGCCCTGTTCTGCGGGAGAGCAGGTGGGCCACGGCTGGGTCTCCTTTGCTTCTCGGCTGTCTTTTCCCTTTTGCTGTTTGGTCCAGAATCGGGCCGTGGACGATGAGGTCACCTTGTGATCAGGCAGCTGTCCTCCCTGTTGCTCGGTAGGGGTCCGTGGCACGGAATTATCAGTTCCGCTTATCAAGTTGGCATTTATGAACTTAGTCGTTATGGAAGTTGTTTTAGAGAAATCAGGCCTTGCCGGGCAGCGCATCACAATCGCCTGGGAGTTTATGCAAACAGATACAGATTTAAAAAATACACCGGATCAGACTCTGTAGGTGTTGGGCCTTGGAGAATATTGAATTTTTCAAAAAGATGATACACATACACATGCGGGTGCAAGATTTTCTCTAAGGGCTCACTAAGATCCTTGCGATGCATGCGGCTCATCCAGAGACTGATGAGATAGAGTGTTTTTGCAGTATTGCACTTTTAAAAATAAAATTGCCATATCAGGGTTTTCATTTTCATTTTTTTGACCCTTTCCCAATGATTTTAAAGTGGAGGGCATTATGATTAAGAGATATAATTCTTCAAAAATAATCTGGTACGGTTACAAAGTAATTGATGTGATACTCTTTTTTCTATTTCCTACATCTTTACCCACGTTTACTGGAGTCAGGAATCCCTGACAATTTTTAGATGTGCCAAGTTGCAAACTTCCAGCTCACTCCTTTTTTTTTTTTTTTTCCATAAGATTTCCAACTCCCCCAGACTTGGGATATGGGTGTGTCTGTAGGTCCTCAGTTCTGAGACCAGCCTCTCAGGCGCCCCTACAGATGTCACCTGGAATGGGTGGGCACGTGTAGAAACATCAAGTGAGCTCTCGACAGCTCGCTGTGGTGCTGGAATGAGCCCTAGAGCAGTTTTAGTAGAAAGAGCAGGGCATATAGAGAGGTCAGAGGAATAATAAGCTAATACCTGTGTGCCCCTCCCCCAGAAATTATTTAAAACAAAAACCATTATCAAGGTGAGGTCCTCTGTATTCTCCTCTGTCCTTTCCTTCTTTCCTT